TATCTCTTAGAACCATCATGGTCTTCCTTCACTCGATACACCCATTTGTTGTGAAGTGCTTTCTTTCCCATAGGTAACTTGACTAGTTCCCATGTCCGATTTGAGATTAAAGACTTCATCTCGTCTTTCATGGCAAGCTCCCACTTGCTAGCATCCAGTGGCTTGACAAGCTTCAGTATAATCTTCGAGGCTCCCTCCATCGATCAACAACATGTAGTCCATGTATCTCCTGTTAGGCACATGAGGCCGAGAAGACCTTCTCAATACGGGAGTTGGAGTAGGAGGTTCAACTTGCACATCAAGTTCTTCAACCGATTCCTCCGGTCGAGAACTCCTCATTATAGGACTTTCACGGGATATCTTCCACCTCTGCATAAAGCTGGACCACTCGCTTCGAGTTGCTTGGCACTTGTATTATGCCTGTCCTTGTACATCACTCTTTCATTGAAGATTACGTCTCTGCTGCGGATCATCTTTTTTTCATCGTCCCATATGCGGTAGCCAAACTCATATTCACCATAACCAAGGAAAGTACATTTCTTTGATTTTGGATCAAGTTTGTTTCTGCCTTGATCATCGATATGCACATATGCTACACGACCAAAAACTCTAAGATGTGAGAGTTTTACCTCTTTTCCGCTCCATACCTCTTCCGGTATCTTGTGCTCCAATGGTACCGATGGACTTCGATTGATCAAGTAAGCTGCTTGTGTTGATTGCTTACGCCCAAAGCTGCTTTGGTAAGCTTGATCGCACGCGCATGCTTCGGCCCTTTCGATCAACGTTCGATTCATACGCTCAGCTACACCATTGTGTTGAGGCGTACCGGCACCGGTTCTCTCCATTCGATTCAGTGCTCATAGCAAAACTTCTTGAATCCGGTGTCTACATATTCACCACCATTGTCGGATCCGAGCTTCTTAATCTTCAATCCTGTCTCATTTTCCACCATAGCTTTCCAAATCTTGAAAGCTTCAAATACTTCCGACTTATATTTCGGAAAGTAAACTCATACCTTTACGGAGTGATCATCAATGAAAGTCACGAAGTAATGCTTCCCCCAACGGATGGAACATTCGTTGGACCCCAAACATCGAGTGGATGAGCTCAAGCTTCTCTTTCTTTGGGGTTCTTTTACTTGTCCGAAAGTCGACTCTCTTCGCTTTCCAAGTATGCGATCTTCACACATGTCAATATCTACTGATCGAAGACCTGGTAATTTTCCTCTTGAGTGCATGATCTTCATTCCTTTCTCACTCATATGTCCAAGTCTTTGGTGCCATATGTTGGAATTTTCATTTGTTGCAGCTGCAATCAAATGACATGCTCCTAGCGATCTTGTAGAGAGTTCCACTCTTTTTGCCTCGAGCAATCGTCATCGCACCTTTTGAGATCTTCCATTCATCACCGTGGAAGATTGTCGTATAGCCTTCACTAGCTAAGCGACCTCACGAGATTAAGCTCTTTGTCGGGTCGGGAATATGTCCGACATTTTTCAATTCCCATACGAGACCCATTCAGCTTAATCCTTACTGCACCTTTGCCTACAATCTCACATGATCTGTTCATTACCAAGGTAAACCTTACCAAGGTTTCGGGAACATAATTCTCCAACAGTTCCTTACGTGAGGTAGCATGAAAAGATGCTCCGGAGTCTAACACCCAAGACTCCTCCACTGCCTTCAAGGGAGCATATCAATGCCTCATCTTTTCCCGAGGTGGAGGCAACGTTTGCTTCGTCCTTTGCTCCTTGATTCTTCCGTGCACTCTTGCACTTGGTTTTCGAAGTGTCCGGTCTTCCCACAATTCCAACACTCGATCGACTTTGAGTTGTGGGAACTACGATGATTTCTAGACTTGGACCGCTTGTCCTTTGATTTTCCATGTCTAATTTCTTTGGTTGAACTTCTTCCTCTTGACTCTGTATGCAATGCGAAGAGGTTGATGCTTCACCCGACTCTCTCCATCGGATCTCTTCGCTGAGAACCAAATTTTGAACATCATTAAATCTTAACTTATTGTTTCCAGATGAGCTACTCACAGCTGTGACCAGTAGCATTCCAACTCTCCGGTAGGGAAGACAAAAGTATTAAAGCTTGTACTTCATCATCGAATTTGATGTCAATAAAACTCAATTGGGTTGTTACGGTGTTGAGTTCATTGAGATGATTTGCCACCGAAGCACCTTCGGACATCCGCGAGGTTGAACAATCACCTCATCAAGTGAACTTTGTTTGAGGTCGATGGTTTCTCGTACATGTTGGAAAGAGCCTTCATGAGATCTGAGGTCGTCTTTTCTTTCACAATGTTAAAAGCAACATTATGGGATAATGTTAGACGAATAACTCCAAGAGCCTGTCTATCAAGGAGACTCCATTCTTCCTCTTTCATGGTTTACGGCTTCTCCCCGTGAGTGGTTGATGCATCTTCTTCGATACATATAATCCTCTATCTCGCATCTTCCGAAGTCAAAGTCCAGTACTGTCGAACCTTTCGATTTTCATTTTTCCTTCGTCTGCGAGCCATCACTCCAACTCGATCCGACTTATCTCATTGGATCGTTTCGACAATTTACGTGAGCTACCGTGTTTCGGAACACGACTGCGGGCAAATTTGTAACGCCGACAAAATTTGCACTATTCACGTTTTCACTATTCACGGAATAGTAACTTACTATTCATATGAATAGTAACACCACAAAAATTACGGAACTAACAACCGGCTCCGATACCGGTTGTTGGGAAAAATATGCTTGAATCTTCTCATATGGTCGGATCCGTGAAAGTGAAATAAAAGCGGAATAATTGCACACACAAGTTGATAACGGAGTTCGGCCAATAATGCCTACGTCTCCGGACTACTACAGATCTCTTTTTAGGAGAGAAGAAAATACACAAGTGTTTACAAAACACTTCCAAAACACTCACAACTCACAACCCAATTACACCCAGAAGCTAAACTAAAACTCTCTAGTTTTTCTGCCTCTCACTGGTGCCACTCTTTTCTTCTCTAAGAGAAGTAATATTTTGTGTGGGATGGGATAATTTTGCTTGCAGGAAGAAGACCAATTTATAGCAAAAATTGGTACTATGCATTGCAATAAAATATGCCTCGTGCACCTCATGCTTGCATAAAAAAATTTGGCAGTGAGAATTGAAAAATTTGGCAGCCACTTTCTTTGACCAACATTTTCTTTTGTAAGGTAATTAGAATATATAATAAAATTGTTTTAACTATATATTGTTAGGTTTATCATGGTGGAAGAAATATTCCTAAGAAATTTTAATTCATCGTAATTTTTATCCGATCAAAAATTTCTTATAATAAATCTTTATCTATTTTCATGTTGAGTTATTAATTTTTTTTCGTAAATTAAATTGAATTAATTTAAAATGTGAATAGAAAAGCATAAGATGAATTACAGATTAAATTAGATTCATTCATAATTTTTGTACTGCACCGTCATAGTTTTTAAAAAACTATAAAGATGCACAAATTCTAAAATCGAGACTTGTGAGTGGATCCACTAAATAAATAAAGAAATAACATATAAATCATTCAAATATAATTATATAATTATATATAATTACAATAGCTATATCATTTAGTTTATTAGAACATCTTTCAATTTTTATTTTCTATTTCTTACCTTTTAATTATAAAACAACCTTGTTTTTAATCTGTTTCTTATTTCCAATTATGTACGTCACTATTTAAAAACAAAAAATAGGAAAACAAAATTGAAGTATACACCCCATTAAATTTAGCATATTAATCATAATAACATAAAAATATTATATTATTATAATATATATATATAGAGAGAGAGAATATAAAAATAACTCAACATATTAAACTAGGTTCAACGTCTAAAAAAATTTTGAATTAAAATTTTAGTGCATAAACATAATTCATTTTGTATTGGGTGAAATTACATTATATATATATATATATATATATATATATATATATATATAAATATTTATTGCATAAACATTCATTTTTAAAGATCACAGGAAAATTAAAATATATATATATATATATATATATATATATATTATTAAAATATATATACTATTAAAAATATCTACCACTATCTAATTATCAATGTCTAGTTTAGCATATTAAGCATATCTTGAAAGTATTTTATCACAATTAAATTAACATCATAAAAAAGTACTAAGAGAAAAGATTGTGTCTACTGATCTACATCTGGAAAGTGATTAATCTTTGATTATTAATAATGGAATGTTCTGGATGCAGAAAAAAATAAGAAAGAGGCAGAAAAGAAGTAGGTGGCATGGGTTGGATCCAAAGGGAGAAATGAGATTTTGGTTTTTGAAGGAGGACCAAATGTGCCCAACGATTAGCCAACTAAGCTTCTGTGATGGGATTTAGCTGTATGGCGCATTTTGTGGTCAACAATTGGTCCGTGCCAAACCACAGCTATACACACACAAAAGATATGATACGTGGAAGCTGATTCTCCTCCATTACAATCAATCTTTTATCTCCATGTGGCCTCCATCAATGTCAAGTGGGCTTGGTGGCCCAGTGCCAGTTATGAACAAGCCTTTTCTGAACCTTCTTCTGACTAACTCCAGCTCCAAAGCGTGCCCAACAAGTCCTACCCAATTAGACAATGAGTTTTAGTTTTCTACTTCAAACGTTCCAATTTCAAATATATGTATCAAGCACTAGTATGTTGACCAAATTCTAAGCGTACACATGCCTCATAAGTATTGGTCAAATCAAACATTTTGGTCACTTACTCCTACTTGTCCCATTTATTTTACACACTCCTCCTAACCAACATAAACAATCCATTACCAAGTCTTCAAACTGGTCAAGGATTCCAAACTCAAAAACAAAACACAATCAAACCTCTTCCCTTCATCCCCTTTCAATATATAATCTCCACTTTCAAAACCTCTTTCAAACCAAACCAAAATCCACAATTTTCACATACAGAGTTTTCAAATCCTCCTTGAGTAGGTAAAATGCAGGATACCCTTCAGCAACAAACAAGAGAAAGTTCAGAACTTCCACCAAAGGTGTCTTTTTTCGGGCACAAGATGGGTGATTTAAGTGATGGACAGCACAAAGATGGGTACTTGGCAGTCGTTCCCCGGTCCAGACCGGCCTGCACCTGCGGAAACCGGCCGGGTTCCGTTAGGTGCGCTCGTCACGGTTACGTGGTGCCAGGGGAGAAGAAGAAGCGCGTGGCTAGCAAAGAGATCCTGAGAAGAGCACTAACACCATCACCAAAACGTTTAGGACTTAGATGGCTGAATTTCAGACCAACCCCTAGCAGACTCTCTAACATGTCCATGGCTTGATTTTCTTTTTCTTTTCTTTTTTTAATTTATTTTTTCCCTTTTTTTCTTTGGATGTTTGTACATGAGAGTTTGACAATCCAATGAAATTAGATTATTCTATATTCTTTATGAAGCTTCTCGTTTCAGTCTTTTTGCAGTTGAGTGATCTGGTTTCATATCCTTGACTTTTGAAATAAAGCTGAAAATTTACTTCATACAAAAACCTGTGATGTTAAGTTCGATAAAACTTAATCTAGTGATATATGTGCGTACTACTGCTTTGTCTGATGATAAATTAACAATTGTATGTTGTCCTGTCCCTTGATCATAGGAATCGGAAATATTCTTGCAGTAAGGTATTGTCTTTTTTGCTGTTTTCCATTTTGTGTGATAAATTCAGATGCTGTGCAATTAGGCTTTATTGTGTGTTCATCTCATGGTTGTTCTAAGTTCATTGAAATTGGACCCAACAGGGTATTTTTCTTTATTCACTTTGTCGGGTCTGTTGTGGTAGCAGATACTAATAATACCATATTTGTTTTTTTGAATTTCACAAAGGCCAGATTTCTTCTGTATTCTTAACTTACTTGTGGTTTCTGAACAAGATAAGGGTAAGAAGAGGATGGCAGATGAGAATCTTTAGATTATTGATATTAATCTTGTTGTAATTTCAATCGAAAACCAGTTTTTAAGGTTAATAAGTCTCATATGACAGACGGACAAAACATAACACAGGATCAACCGAGTGACAAAGGATCATGTACGATTTTTATGTCCATCAATATATTCATGAAATCTTAGATGATTTTTGTGGTATGTCTAGGAAGTGCTGATGAATTTAGTAGACAGATGTGGTATATACTTAGATTTTAGCTTTTGGTTATTGTTAGTGTTGTATGACAATGGAAAATATAGAGGAAAGGAGAAAGAAAGTATACTTGAAGATCATAAAAAGAAAATTGAAAAGAGATTATATTGGTTTTTAAACATTTGTTACACAAGTCACATCCTCTTTTTATTGTGTTATAAATATTTAAATATTTTAAATTTTTTTATTTTTTTAATTCTATAATTATTATTAAGATAAATTCTAGAATCATCGTTTAATTTTTTTTTATATTCTAGATTATTCTATTGGAAAAGATGGAGAAAGGAGAAAGTATAATTGAAAATCACAGAGAAAATATAGATGAGATAATATTGTTTTTTTTTTCACATTTATTACATAATAGAATGGTCTATTTATTTATAAGTTAGATATTTCACTCAGTCATTATTAATATGCGATGTTCTAAATAATTTTATTTTTTTTAATTCTATAATTATCAATATAATTTTAGAATATTTTTTACAACTTTTTTTTTATATTTTAGATTATTCTATTTATAAATTTTTAGTCTTTTGGTAAGATTGTCACATAATTTTTAAATTATTATAAAAATTCATACGCACAGTCTACTCTTATATTTAAATTTAACAAAATAATCAAATGTTTTTAGGTGACAATAGTTCGCACTCTTGTTTGACGGGGGAAAATGAACATAGAGAAGGTAACAAGAAAAAAATATTGGTAAAAAGATAAAAGAGGAAAGAAATTCTAAGAGTTGTTTGATACAAAGATATATGAAAAAAATGTAGAGGGAGATTTTTTTTCAATGGATAATACTTCTCCTTTAATGATTATGAAGTTTTTTTAAGTAATTATGTTATTAATATTTAATATAAAATTAACTTACTACTTTTAATAAGATTTCATATTCAATTACACTTTTCTTTTTTTACTTAAGACATAAATTTGAGGTTTTTCTTCAAGGAAAAGTTTAATAGTACCAATAAAACTACTTGATAGGAATTCATATTCTCTAATTTCTTTTCATATGTCATTTAAGAATATTTTGGAGATATTGAAAAATATATTATTTTTAATCTTAATTAATATTTATAAATTTTTCTATTTTATTGTTTATTTTTATATAAATAAATATTTTAAATAAGAAATTTTTATAAGAGACCTTTGATAATATTTCTTTTAAAATAAATAACTAAATTTATTTATATTTTCAAATATTTTAATATTATGATTTAATCGAACTGTTTATGAAAATATTAAAAAAAACTTAATAATATATTAAATTTAAAAATATAGTTAAATATAAATAAAAATCTCATACCAATAACTTATATATAAAAACAAGAAATAATTAATATTATATTGAAATTAAAAAATATCGTTAAATAAAAAAATGAAAAAAATCTCATACTTTAAAAGAAATAGAAGTATAGAAACAAATATTTAGAAAGACAAGAATATTGAATTATGTATAAAGATTAAAAAAAAAATCTTAGAAAGATGCAGAAGAAACTGTAGGATTTTATTGGATTACAAATTATGAGTTTGTCTGCATATTATTTTTAAAAATAATTTTATTTTTTTAGTTTTAAAAAATATTTAATAAGTGTTTTCATTTTTTTATTTTTTTTAGTTTTTAAAATTAAAAAAATTATAAAAAATGTTTTTTAATTATAATTTTTTATTTTTATTAATAGTATCAACATTTTTATGAATAATCATATTATATCACTTGCTGTTTTTAATGTCATAAAATTAATAAAAATACTATTTCAAATTTTGACCCTTTATCATTATGATATATATATATATATATATATATATATATATATATATATATATATATATATATATTTTTTTTTTTATTTGAAATATTTTTTAAAATAAAATTATCAAATAACTTTTTAAATTAAAAAAATATAATTTTTAAAAATAAGTTAAAAAAAACTAATTCAAACAAGTATGATGTATGTCTTATATTTTTCTCTTTTTGTTTATTTTTATTCTCTTTGGTGTCAAATTTAAAAAGAAAAAAGAGAGGTTTTTCCTTTAGTTCCACTTATGGGATGCTATTTTCCATTTTTTTTTATATAAATGGTGTAATTCTATCTCTCATTTACTAAAATAGTTAAAATTTGAAAATTTCCAGGGATTGGGATGATTCTTATTGTAATGGTTAATTTTAATTTTTTTTTACACAAGTAGTACTACATGAAACAACTTTGGGTGTTTTTATTTTTTAATTTCTAAAGTCCTATTTGGTGGCACATTTTCTATTTGTTTTTTTAAATCGTAATACAATTTTTTTTTTAATTTGTACTTTATTTTTTATAATCATCAATGCTGATCTCGAGTTACATAATAAAAATTTTAATTTGTTTTCTTAGTTTTTATGTTCTATAAAATATTTTTTCTATTTATTATATTTTAAGATTATAATTTTATAAGTAAAAAGAATAAAAATTATAACAATAGTAAAAAAAGTAATATTAAAAGTGAAATATTATAATATTATTGTCTATGCAAATAATTATTATGATTATGACTCTCATTATAAAACATAAATTCTTTTTCGATTTATTCATATTTTAATAATTTTTTTATTGTAAATATGTGTTGTGATAGATTTTTTTATTGTTAATGTTGCATGGTTAGGTTTAAATTTTTTTTTCATCAATACAAAGAAACACTTAATCTTCAATTTGTATTAGATGTAAATCGATACTCATAAGCTTTAAAAATATTGTTTAACTTATATACTTGATTAACTTATGTATCAATTTGCAAATGATACGAAGAACATACAACAATAATATATGAATAAGGTATAACCTCTTCTTTGAGTTCTTCATGCTATTGTTCTATGTCATTTACAACTTCTTCCATGATCTTGATTTTAGTACATGTCTATAAGGGTGTTGGAGGCGAGTGACAGATCTTGACCATTGATTCTGGAGAATCAAATAATATAATAAATAAATATAAATGAATGAAAGAAGATGAAAGGATGAGAGGATAAAATTGTAAATATATAAGTAAATATATAAAATGATAATTAAGTTTAGAGGAGGCAAAATCATAAATTATATGAGAGTTACAAAACCGATGAGAGGCTGAGAGGATAAAATTGTAAATATATAAGTAAATATATTAAAGTTTGGGGGGGGACCAAAATAATAAATTATATGGGAGTTATAAAACTTTGGGGACCAAAGCCCCTCTCAGTGTCCAAGAAGATCCGCCACTTGCTGGAGGGATGTTTTCTTTACTTGACTAATTGTTTTTTCTATATGAAAAGAATGACATGAGTATTTGCATGGATATTGTATGGAAGTATCTTAAAATCAATTATTTATAATTAAGAAGTGGAGAAGACAATTTTATTAACATTAATTGAAAAGTACATTATATCAAAACTTCCATGTTTGTTTTATCTCACAACTTGATCTAATGTCTCCTTCTTCAATTATACTTTAAATCAAACTTTAATTTTTAATTTTCTCCAACAAATCTATTTAATGCATAAGAATAGTAAGAATGAACGAATAGGACAAAAATGATGCATGAAAATATGATATGATATGCTAAGGGATAAAAATTTTTTTTTTACCAACATGGTATAAAATAAGAAACTGAACAAAAAATAACAAGGAAAAAATGGTATAGATGAATAAAGATCCATTATAGTATTTAAAATTCATTAGATTTTTAGAGCTTAATACTCATCTCAGTCTATGATTACAAATTGAAAGTAAATCCAAGATGTAGGCATTTGTGAAAGAGTAATGCTCTAGATATGATTTTTTTTTTATAGCCAGGTTGAAAGTATGTTTAAAATGATATCACTTATTATCTCACTCCTTAGGTTACACTTAAGCCCAAGTATAAGACCTCACTCCTAATTATATGAAAAATCACTACAAAAAAAAGCCTATTATCTACTGCAAAAATCCGTAGGTAATGTCATTTTACCTACAGATTTTTCCCCGTAGGAAATCCGTAGATAATATGGTCATAGGTAATTTACCTATGAAATTACTGTCTGTAGGTAATATCGTCCGTGAGTAATTTACCTACAGATTATAATCCATGGGTAATTACCTACGAACAGAATCTGTAGGTAATTACCTACGGATTGTAATCCGTAGGTAATTACCTACGAACAAAATCC